CCTCATCACCGGCGCCGGCAGCGGCCTGGGCCGCCTCTTCGCGCTCGAGTTCGCCCGGCGCCGGGCGCTGCTGGTGCTCTGGGACATCAACACCCAGAGCAACGAGGAGACCGCGGGCCTGGTGCGCCACATCTACCGCGACCTGGAGGCGGCGGACGCCGCGGCGCTGCAAGGTAACCGACCTGCGCCCCGGCATTGTTGAGTCAGGCCCCGCCCGCCCGCGCCCACCTGGGAGGACCCCAGAACCCCGCGCCGCGGTCGGTCCTGCTCGCGTGGAAGGGACCCCCGACACACACACACCCCGACACGGACTGCTCCCCCGCATGGAGGAGCGTGCCCGCCTGTTTTGGAGGGGGGAAGTGTGCCAAGCCCTTGTGTTAGCAGAGGTCCGATCGGTGTGGGCACGACTGTGGGGTTTCCTGAGCCCCCTGAGGACAGGCAAGGCAGAGGGACCTTGTTTCCTCAGGTGTGAGTCCTAAAGAAATGCCCTTGCGGTGGTCGGCTTGTCTGGGAAGTTGTTCTCAGAGCCGCCAGATGCACATATGTGTGTAAACGTGGTCTGAAGCTCCTCGGCTAGGGCAGCACTGATTTCACTGTAACTTTAATCGCGAGGAAATAATTACATTGTGTCGCCGGAGATAAGTAAGTACTTTAGTTACATACTTAGCCTGATTGAAAGGCGCATTGCCTCTTAAGACAAAGTGCTTGAAGGATTTAAGCCTTTTTGTAAATTTATTTCATGTTTTCGGGAACTTCAGGAAGTCTGCGTGTGTTTTTTTGGTATATTTATCAACTGACCTGAACCTGAAACTTTAAAAAAGAAAAAAATGGGGACCATAACCAACCATAAGTATTGGCCCAGGAAATTTGGCAATCACTCTTGCTTTTTGACAAAATTTTTCGTTTCCAGGGAAAACACTGAACTATACAGAGAAGAGTAACTTGGGCACCACCCCTCCCCCATATTGATCATTTGTCATCAAAATTATTGGCGCCTACCATCTAGGTCAGAAAATCAAAGGTTGAAAACTTTACATTTTCAGCAGTGGTTTGGAGGGCAGCAAATAAGATTGTTGTGCTCCCTGCCAAAACCTCAGAGATAAAGGTGTTCGTTTTCCAGGGAAAAGAGTTCGGTTTTTAAACTGAATTCTTGTGTGATAAAATGGCATATTTACCTGTGAACTTGATTTATGTACTGTGTCAGTTAGAACACACCGGTGTGACCTCCACTTCTCATGAGAAACTCTAGGTGCGTTTCTTGGCTTTGGATGAATGCAGATTATTGATTACAGTTTTGATTTGTGAGCCTTGAGATGAGTCTCCATTTTGAGGGTGCTCATACTGAAGAGTAAAAGCCGCTCCCAGCCACTGTTCCCCCAAAAGAGGAATGTGCAGTGTGTGTGTTTGGGAGGAGGGGTGTTACTCTCTGGGCTGAGATCAGTTCTTCCCAGGTGTCTTTAGCCCCAGGAAGCCGATCCCATGAGGTCTGACTTGTATTGGGCTTGTCACAGTTACACGATTTTCCCCTAAGCAGACTTCTCCAGCAGATTGCTCTAATTCCCCAAGACTTTTAGGGGAGGAAGGCAGCTGTAAGCTCAGTCATTGGCAAGCCTCACGGTGTTAGAAATTTGAAGCTCACTGTAGTATTTTTGTTTTGTGTGATCTTTGTCCTACTGATGGCCACGTGACTCACGTTTTGCAACCTTCCCCCTTCTCTTTTCCGTATTTTCCCCTCGCCTGGACTCCTGAGGACAGCTGGGAATGGGGAGGAAGAAATCCTGCCCCACTGTAACCTGCAGGTTTTTACCTACACCTGTGATGTGGGAAAGAGGGAGAATGTCTACCTGACGGCCGAAAGAGTCCGCAAGGAGGTTGGCGAGGTCTCGGTCCTGGTCAACAATGCCGGTGTGGTCTCCGGGCATCACCTCCTGGAATGTCCCGATGAGCTCATTGAGAGAACCATGATGGTCAACTGCCACGCACACTTCTGGGTAAATATAAACATCCTTATTTTCATTTCTGGGCCCTCCTCAATGGGAAGCTTGGGAAGGAGAGAAACTTCAGTACCAGCCTGAAAGCCACCTGCACTCTCACCACAAAGCTTCCTTCTAACTCACTATTCCCCGTGGTAAATTACATCTTACACCAGTTACCATTAAATAGCTGTTCGCTTCCCCACCGCCCCCCCTCCCCAAATTCAGTATTTCTTGAGAGGGTAGAGGACTGAACATTTTGAACTAGTTTGAAAGACTGCCATAAAAATAACAAGAGGAAGCATAAAATCCTGGGTTTGTTTATTTTACTTTCTGTTGAGTTTGTAAAACATCGGTTGTTCTTATGAATTCCTAAAGTCAGAGTTTAGGCTTCCAAATTACTGCTCAGCCACATTTTGGGAAGTGCCAGAGGTTCTGAGATCAGCATTTGTGGTCCACTGGGAGCGGTCAGGCCACCCTGGCAGGCACTTCACATCCGTGGCCCATCCCAGGGTCTGTGGCATTGTCCTGTTGGAATACATCTCAGCTTAGAGGATGCCTCTCTCAGGAGAACAGAAGTCACCGTGATAGGACCACAGAGTCCCTGTGTAGGTCTGGTGGACCAGGGACATATACCCTAGCAGCTTCTGGGTGATGGTTAGAACATCAGAGCTTCTGCAGCACGTAAGGATGCGAGGGAGGGCTTTCTACTGCTCTGGGGACGAAACTAACCCAGTTTTTCAGCTGAACTGATTAAGTAATGGTAGATGTGAAACCCTCCCGTATCACTGTACACGGTCGACCCACTTTCTGCTTTTCCTCCTTCGTAGTGTTTCCCCTTTTCTTTGTAGACAGGTGGGATCCAGTAAAGAAGAGGCAAGGAGAGAGGGTGGGGTGTGTGTGTGTGTGTGTAGGCAGTTTAGCCTTCTAATCAAACCCAACAAAGAACTGTTTCTCCTAAATAGGTCACATTAAATCTCATTAATTTTTTAGCAACTGCTTAAAAACTTAATATGGCTTTGGAAGTACTTATTCAAATGTTGCTCCTTTAACATGAAACCATTTCTCTGATCCTGGAAGAAGCTTATGTTTTATTTTGAAACATGAACTTTATTCATTTCTAAACCTCTAGAAATGAACATATAAATGACGTGAGTTAACTCATATCATGTTTTAAAGGAGGAAGGAGATTACCAAATACAGTTTGGGGGAATTCAGATGTGCTTGTGTGCACGTAGGTGTGTGAGCGTGTGTGCTGTGTGCAGTGGGGATGGGGAGTGGATAAAGTCCTCGCTGCCTTGGGGTCCACAAGAACAGGCAGCAGATGACGCGGGGGTGGGTCAGATAAGTTAAGGCCAGTACAGCTGAACAAAGTGGCAGTGCAGCTTATCCAGAACCTCGTGCGTTTATAATTCTGAGTAAAGCAATCGCCACTTGACATAAATGACGTTCAGAAATTGCAGGTGGACTGTAGTTTTCATATTTGAAGAATGGTAAGGGTGAAGCTGCCATAGAAACTTGAGTTGATTTCCATCAGCTATTCATCCTTCAGCAGACTCTCGGCCCTTGGTAGGCTAGTTATAAACCACAGGCTCCAGGACTGGTTTTTTCCGATAACCTCTGACTGAAATGATTCTCGGTTTCTGAACTGTAAACGTTTACCTACACAAAATACTCTGAAGTTTAACCACCTTGCCTACTTACTCTGTGTGATTATTTTGCTGAATTGTAAAATTTCAAATGAAACCAGATTTTTCAAGAAATCCCATATGATCTTCAGTTCAATACTTACAAGAGGAAAGCAGTTCCTTTTCTCTAAACATCCTATGAAGTGAGAGCTAATTTAGAGTGTGTTAAGCACAGAAAATCCATAGCTTCAGCTTTGAAAATGCACACCCATTAATGTACTGTACCCTAAACATTGGGCTACTTTCTTATCTAAGGAGAAAATTCATTCAAATCTCCAATAGCAAAATTATTGTGGAGCTGAAGCCATACAGCAAGAAGGAACAGGTCACCTTCCCAGAGGCCTTTTGAGATGTTGCTTAACTACACAATTTAGGGAGTTCTTGGAAGCCTTGACAGTATGACGTCACTTCATATTAAAATATGGGAGGCTCCTGAATTCTCCAGCTGTTTTTCCCCCAAGCATCTAAACTTAAGAATTTATTTTCAACATTGAGTCAGAAAATTCATTTTCGAGTTGGAATTTTTAACTTCTTGCCGAGACTTAGAAACCTTTTAAGAAGTTGAGATCTAGCAACTAAAATGTAAAAGAAGAGTTACTGTAATTTTACAGTGATTTTTTGGGGGGGGTTGGGTTCAGGGTGTTATGTGGCCTAATAGCCACCTGAATTCAGCTTTCCTTCCAGTAGCCCTGTGGCAGGAAAGTGTTCCTAGTAACTGTTCAGAGATGTCCAGTGTTGGCATGTGCTGTTCCCCTTCCAGAAAAAATAACCAATGTGTCTTCTTACTGTATCCGGCTGGGGAAAAGAAGTTGCCCCAACCGTTTTAAAAAGTAGATCAGCTGAGCAAAGATTTGTTCACTCATTTGAACAGATTGTCTTGAGCCAGACTTTTAAGTAGCAGTTGTTGTTGGTTTTCATAAAATGATCAATAGTATGCAGTTCTGACCAGAGTTAAAGTCATATGCAGTTCAATAGAAAACCACGTGGGTGTCATGTGAGCCTCCACCAAAAAGCTGTGGATGCTGCTACTTACAAGCCATTCCTTAGACTGTTCCCCCTGCCTGGAAGGGCCTCCTCCCCTACTCCATCCACCTTCGAAGTTCTAGCTCAAGTTCTTATTATAACCTTCCCTCCCCACTCCAGCCCTTTTCTGGCATTTTTGCATATTAGAGCTGCAAGGGTCCTTAGCGATCACCTTATCCAACCTCCTGTTTTCTGATGAAGCTACAGTCAGATGACTTGTGGAAGCCTTTTCTTGCCGCGGATCTCTTGCAGCCTTGTCATGCCTGTCCTTTGGTGCCTGGTATGTGTTCTTTGGTGTAACTTTTTAAACCTTGTGCTGTGAAACCCCTAAGTAGATGACAGGCTGTCTGAAGGCAGTGTATTATATGCATCTATTTGATTTCCCTGGCCTGGCACAGAACTCTACTCCTCAGTCACTCAATAAATGTTTGATAATAAAGGGGAGGCTTCTGCTTAAATATTTAGAAGATCACCTATTCAGAGAGTGCTCACATGGGCCTGTCTTCTGCAGTTTCCAAAGGTAAGATTATGCTGGACTAATTCAAGCTGGGTAAGATTGATGGGATTTCAAAGTGGGGCTGGCTCACATTCGTTATTTGTATCTCCTTTTGTTTTCCTACACAATTTTTCCATTCCCCCTGCCCTACCCGTATGCTCATTTTTACTCGAGTGTATTGAGTCTGCTCAGTGGTGCGAGGCTAGTGACTTGAGAAGGCTGGTGTGGATATACCAATTTGAATCAAGCTCAAGTTGACTGTCTGGCAGCCATTCCTATTTCCCAATAATCGGCCCTCAGGGAGAGGACTCCTACTCTAACTCCTTCCTTGCTGCTTACTATTTGCACACGTGTTGGTGGTTTTTGCCATACTTGGCACAGCCCTCCAGTCTGGTGAGATACTTAATCCTCCAGTACCCTTCCTTCAACAGCTCTCCCAGGAACCTCTTCTTGGTCACCAGTCAAGAAGTGATAGATTTGGGGCAGGTTCTAGCCAGTATAATCTGTTGTGCACCATTCACGGTGAGCACAAGACCATGGAGAATGTATACAATACAATGCACTGTGTTTGCCACAGTCATAGAAACTGTCTTAGGTTCTCTGTACTTTGGGGAGAAGCAAAAGCTTAGGAACTGCAAACCCATCTTTTCCCCAAAACATTAACATGGCTTCACTTATTTTTTCAGAGTAGAATCTTAGCTAAAAGATAGTTTATCTGTACATCCTTCTTGACCAAAGAGCTGCATCTGGCCTTTCTACGTGAGCAGCACATTGATCCCTGATTAACCAAAAGGGGGAAGCAAAAGCATTTAACTGCAGGCCTTTTATGTTCTGGAGAAATTTTGCATCGCAAAGGACTCAATCTGTCAAATAGCTAGTCGGTAATTTACTTCTATTGATATGGTAGTCAGACAAGATAATTGGTAGTTAATTAATAGACCACTTAACTTAAAAGGTTTCACAGTTTTAAAATACTAATTACTGAATTAGGCATTTATCTATATCCAAATGTCTAAAGTCTATTTAGTTAAAATCCATCCAGGAAAAGTAAAAGCCCACCAGGAGATCTGAGTAATGTAGCACTTAAAGACATTAGTACCTAATATCTCATGAATGGTCCCTAATCATTAATGTTCAAGTTTTTTGTGATTTACTAGTTTTTAATCTCAAATACTGTAATCCTCTGTTCTCTGGTTAGAGAAATGTAGTTTTGTTCAAGACCTCTTAGATTTAGGATTTTTGTAAAAATTATTTCTGAAGTATTCATATAAAACGAAATAGCCAATGCTCCCTCCTCCAAACCATAATATTAAGAATTGTTAGACTATATATTTTGTGGAGCATTGTTTTCCTGCCTTGAGATAACTCCTGAAAACGTGCAATTCAAGGCCTCTTTTAAAGTCTGTACTACAACTAACTGCCTTCTGTTATTAAATAAACATATGCATAAAAATCAAACGTTTGAGCTTTAGAGATAAAGACTTTTTATGTCTTGAACTGAACTATAAATTTACATGGGCTGAGCATACTTCGTCTTATTAATTCTTGTGGTCACAGTTAAAACCAGAATAAAACCTCCCTTTCGACAGCAACTACTTGGGTACCTGGGACTGTACCTAACAAAATCATTCCATAGCCTTCTTTCCTAACACAAAATAAGATCACGTGCTCATTGAACTTTGTCTATATTTGATATATTACATGCTGGGCCTACATCTTTTGCTCCCAGAAATCCGCATCTATGACATGCTAAAACGTCACTTTACATAACTGGTGTGATCAGGGAACCATCCTATAAAAATGTTCCCAGC